AAAAAAAAAAAAAAAAGAATACAAGATGAGGTTATTAGCATCCGAAGCGTTTCTTCCCACTCAGACTTTCCATTCGAGCGACATGATTTCTTCCAGTTAGAGTCCAAGTGACAGGGCCTAGCAGTAAGGAGACTCACATTAACCCCACCTTTCCCTTCCCACTCACAGCCCATGGCGAATCGTGGATGACTGCGGTGGAGCCTTCACGATGGGGGTGATCGGTGGTGGAGTCTTCCAGGCTATTAAGGGCTTCCGCAATGCTCCCATTGTGAGTCTTGGCTTCCCCAGCAAAGTTGGAGTCAACAGCCTCACCCACGCAGAACACTGCTGGAAAACTGCTCGGAGCTGCCAGTTAGCGTGCCCTTAAGTTATCTGCTCACCTACTGTGTACTCGGCCTGGCTCCTGGGTCTGGGTTTTTGGGAAACTGCACACACCCAGCTGTGGAGATGCTATACTGTCAGGACAATCACGGGGCGCCTTAGGGCTGGGGATGTAGCTCAGTGGTAGAGTGTTTGCCTAGTGCATGATCCTGGACTCCACCCCCCCGCACTGCAAATTAACGAATAAACAGTCATTTGGGCTGGGGTTGTGTAGTTTACTGGTAAGCACCCGCATAGTGTGTTTAAGAACATGAGTTCAATCCCCAGCTCTGCAAAAAGAAAAGAAGGAACAAAATCCTAAATGTGGGTACAAAGCCTGATTGATTTTACCTGGAGACAATTCTGGGTCAGAAACATGGATTTAGGGAAGTGACAGTAGAGGAAGACTTAAAACAGAAAATCCTTTTGATTTACAGTAATTCTCTCTTTTCTGACCCCCCCATCACATCAAATGTCATAGCTTTAATTGACATTGATTTATTAAGATCTCTGCAGTTTTTTAATTTTTTTTCCTTCAGTACTTGAAATTGAACCCAAGGTCTTCACACTGATCTACATCCCCAGCCCTTCATGTTATTTTATTTTATTTTGAGACAGGGTTTTGCTAAATTGCCCTGGCTCAAACTTGCCATCCTCCTACCCTCAACCTCTAAGAGTGTTGGGATTACAGGTGTGGCCACTGTGCCCACCTTGCAGTTTCCATATGTACCTTTGTCCATCCTCTTCACTCCTAGAACTCTCTTTCTTGGATCTTTGCCCGTATTTTTCATCCTTGGGGATCTCAGCACATTTTACCTGCTAGAGACCGAAGCAGGGCCTAAGCACGTGTTCTGTTGACCTCCAGTCCCCAGCTCCCGCTCCTTGACAAGACTTTTCCTCACTGCTAGGACCACATCTTCATTCTGCCTCCTGGAGTGCCTATGCTGTTTGAAACTGACCTGTTTATCTGCTCAGGGTCTGTCTTGCATTATGTGAGCCCAGACCTACCTTGTTCATGGCTGTGTCCCTGCTCCTTAGTTATTTACTGAATGAATGGCTGAAGAAGTTAATAAATTGGAGCTGACCAATCCAACTGTAGGGACACCTGTGTTGGTGTGTTCCCCAGACCCCTAGTTCTTGACTGCTTCTCATCTAATGGGTCTCCTCCCTCCTGTTTTTTGTTTGTTTGTTGTTTTTTTAAGTACTGGGGATGGGACCCAGGACCTCGCACATGCTAGGCAAGCATTCTAGTACTAAGCTATACCCCAGTCCCCACCTTACTTTTTTGTAGTACTGTGGATTGAACCAACGACTTTGTACTGAGCTACATCTCCAGCCCTTTTTAAATTTTGGGTTGGTTTGGTTTTTTGAAACAGAGTCTTGCTGTATAGTTCAGGCTGGCCTTGGAACACCACCACACCTGAATCCCTTCCCTCCCTCAAAGGCTAGAAATCCTGTCTGCTAGTGGCTTTAACCCTGCCCTGACTCCCTTTCTCACTCTCCTCAGGGAATTCAACACCGGTTAAGAGGTAGTGTCAATGCCGTGAGAATCCGAGCACCCCAGATTGGAGGTATGGGGCTTGGGGAGGTAGAGGAGATGTGATGGTGATGTTTGGGGTGGTTAGTCCCTTGGGGCTAAACTGCAGGATGGGGCGGGTCCGGTTTCTAGCTGAGACTCTCCCAGGGACTTTTCCAGGGGCTGATCCTTTCCAACAATTTAATATTAAGGGACAAAGGTATGGGTTCTAGAGTTTAAATCCAAGCCATGGCTCTTCTCTGTGGTGCGGCTTTAGGTTAGTAGCAGATCCTCTTTGAACCTCATGTGTACCTTGATGATGATGACATTAACCACCTTATCAGTTTTTTCATTTACATAGTACTTACTAACTGCTGGTTGCTGTGCTAAGGCTTTTGATGATATTAACTAATTTAAATTACATAAGTTAAATAACAAAATACCTCAAATTGATCCTGGGACATAGTAAGCCCTTGATAAACATTTTGACTACAGGCTGAGTACCCCTTATCCAAAATACTTGAGACCAGAAATATTTCAGATTTCAGAGTTTTGTGGATTTTGGAATATTTGTATATGCGTAATGAGACATCTTGGGAATGGGACCCAGGTCTAAAGATGAAATTCATTTATGTTTCAAGTGCAACTTACATAACCTAAAGATAATTCTATGCAGTGTGTGTGTTTGTGTGTTTTAAACGCAATACTGAGGGTTGAGCCAAGATTCTTGAGCATGTTAGGCAAGTGCTTAATTTCAGCAGTATAGTACTTATCCAGCATGCATGTGGTCCTTGGGTTTGATCCCCACCACTGCAAAACAAAACAGATGGGGATCACTCTGTTGCCCAGACTGGTCTTGAATTTCTGATTTCAAGAGATCCTCCTGCCTCAGCCTCCCCAGTATCTGGGGCTACAGGCACATTTTACCACGTCCACCCAATTTTATACAGTATTTTTATTTCATTTGTTTTTTGTTGTTGTTGTTTTGATTCATTTTGTTTTTGTGTGGTACTGAGGGTCAAACCCAGGGGCGTTCTTCTACTGAGCTACAGCTTTATCTCTCTGTAGCTAGCTTTCTTTCTTTCTTTCTTTCTTTGTTGGTACCAGGGATCGAACTCGGGTCCTTGAGTTTGCGTGGTTTAGCTTTTTATATTCACTAAGTTGCCCAGGCAGGACTTGAAGTTGTGGGAAAAATCCATATAAATATGCTTGTAACCATCTGTCAACTCCTTACAGAGGCAGAGAAGGCAATGTAGATGGCATTTAGATAGCTTAAAGTGGGAGCTCCACAGAGTAAGGGAGACATAATATTCTCTGTCTGCCTCTTCCTTTGTGGCTGAGTCTTTCTCTGTGCTTTTGTTTTTTGGTACAGGGCTTGGAATGCAAGTCATGTGATGCTACCTATGCTCTAATGCTGAGCCACACCCCCAAGTCCATTCTCCATTGTTGTTGTTGTTGTTGTTCTGGGATCCAATTGGGGCCCTTGTGCTTGCAAAGCAGGCAGCAGAACCGCTGAGCCAAACCCCTGGCCCCCTTTCTCCATTCTTAGCTGGAGCGTTTATCCTTAGAGGTGTCCTGACCCTGAGATGTGGGTTCCTGGGATCTCCCAGAAGCACTGACTAGGCCTCTGTGTCCCACAGGCAGCTTCGCGGTGTGGGGGGGCCTGTTCTCCACCATTGACTGTGGCCTGGTGAGGATTCGGGGCAAGGAGGATCCCTGGAACTCCATCACCAGTGGAGCCCTGACTGGGGCTGTGCTGGCTGCCCGCAGTGAGTGCCCTAGCCCTGGTCCCAGCCTCTTGTACTCTGCCCTTCCTGCTCTGACCTTGGCCCCTCCTGTTCTCCCCAGGTGGCCCGCTGGCCATGGTCGGCTCTGCGATGATGGGGGGCATCCTGCTGGCCCTCATCGAGGGTGTTGGCATCCTCCTCACTCGCTATACTGCCCAGCAGTTCCGTAATGGTGAGCGGGTCCTGGTGGATGATGGTCAGCGTGAGGTGAGAGTGTTCCACATAGCCTCTTCTACTTGTCTTGACCTCCTTCTCTCTTCTCCAGCACCCCCGTTCCTGGAGGACCCAAGCCAGCTGCCCCCTAAGGAGGGTACCCCAGCCACCAGCTATCCCAGCTATCAGCAATACCATTGAGGAAACCGCCTGACACCGACACCGTGGGAGCTGCCCCTCGGTTCCCTCCCCGATGATCTACCTCGAAGGGAGGGCTGGCTCCCAGTTAGCCCTGAGACCTCCAGAGAGGGCCTCTGCTCCCCTGTCCCAGGGTGGGGGTGGGGCACCCCAGCTGCCCTGATGGAAGGGTCCCTTTTTTCTCTCAGGGCACCCCAGCCCCGCACATTTAACAAGCTCTTACCCCAGCTCCTTCGTGTGGCACCCTAATGAGTATTTAAAGCGAGTTTGGAAATGCCTGTGTGTGCGCTTCTTGAGCGTGCTCCATCCCACACCCCTGAAAAGGGGCAGAGCCCTTCCCAGGGCCCTGGAAGCCCTAGGCCTTAGAGTCCCACAGCGAGTCGGCTGTAGTACAGGTTTGTGGAACGACTGGGAGGGAGTATATGAGGATGTGAATCAGGTACAGGAACAAGGATGTGGGGGGCCACACGATGAACCCTGAGTGGTGTCACAAGCCTGGACGCCAAGGCTGAGAACCAGACCTCTCAAGAAGCCCCTTCTGGATGATCCTCTTCGTGGCTCTGCAGTGAAAGTGGGGTTTGGGGACATCTGGCCCCCTCAAAGAAGGGGTGCCCAGTGTCTGTTCTACCACAGAGACACTTCTGTGCCGTGTGGTTGTCAGTTTGGTTTTTTGAAAATGATCGCAGAATGGCTGGAAATGAGTTTTCAAGTGTAAGGTGGAAAAGGCTGGGGATGTAGCTCAGTGGCACCACACCTGCCTCACAAGCACAGGGTGCTGAGTTCGATCCTCAGTACCAGAAAGAGAAAAGCACAGTGTAAGGTAGAGAAAGATTTTTGTGGATGGGTATCACCCCTGGGTGCTGTTACCTCTACAGAAACCCTTGCATCTGGGGCAGACACGGTCTTTATGGCGGTGCACACGCACCGAGGAGGCACTTGTTTCCTCTGCACAAACTGCTTGGTGCGAAGGACCTAGGGGAAGACATGCAAACTTCGCTCAGCAAGCCATTCAGAGGCGCAAGCGCCCTGCGGTACAGCTCCGAGGGAGGGCAAAGCCCCACCTGGGCTTCCCAAGGCTCTGGGGAGACCTAGAGGTCTTCGGTGGTGACAGCTGTGGCTCCTGCTTGAGTGACCCCAGTGCCAAGCAGCACGTATCACCCCACTGGTGGCCCTCGGAAGGGCAAGGTGAGGTGGATTGGAGGTGGAGGTAGGGGGCGCTGTGCAAGCAACTCTCGACCCTCCAGCTTGAGCCTGGCTGGCCAGTAGCACCCTGTGTGGGCCTGGACCCTGGATGTGGATGCTTGTATGTCAGGGCTGCTGGCTCCTCTGGTCCCACCCCTTTTGCACAGGAGGCTCCATGAGCTGTGCTGGCTCCCAGGCCCTAGGTATTTCCAAGCTTTTACCTATTCTCTAACACCCCCCTTTCTATTCTTTCTGTGGGGCTCCATAAGGCTATAGACCCTACCTCCATTTTGGTTTGGTTTTGTTTTCTGAGACAGGGTCTCACTGTGGAGTTAAGGCTGGCCTTTAACTCGCTACGTAGCCTATACGGGCTTCAAATTCATGGAGATCGCTGGGTGTGGTGGTGCATGCCTGTAATCTGAGCACTGGGGAGGCTGAGGCAGGTGGATCGCTGTGAATTCGAGACCACCCTGGGCTACATAGTGAGTTCCAGGGCAGTCTCAACTATGTAGTGAGACCCTGTCTCGAAAAAAGAAGAAAAATTCATGGAGCTCTTCCTGAATACTGGCATTACAGTCCTGTGATCCCCTACAGGTAGGTCCCACCCCAAAGGCCTTTTACTGTCACAGGTACCTGCCCTCCGCAGCCTCCTCCCAACTTCAGGACCCTCCCCTTTGAGGCTTGCAGACTCCAGGGTGTCCTCCATCCACAGAAGAGGATCACCGCGGATTCAAGGCCAGCATGAACTTCACAGCAAGACCATGACAAAAAAAGATGGAGAGAGAAATAGAAGCAGAGATGCACACTCAGGAAGAGGCGGAGACATATGCAAGAGACAAATGAGACGGTGACAGGCAGCTGTGTGAGGTCAGCCACACAGGTACAGAGACGAGAAGATGCCACGCAGTGTCAGATGTGGAGAGGACCGAAGCCAGCACCCTCTGGGTGCTTGCCAGGCTGGGGCTGGGCCTCCTGCCCTTCACCCTGAAGCTGGAGACCTCGGGAAGGCAGACATGCAGATGGATACGTCTCCCGCATCCTCTTCTGTTTCTCCCTCTCTCCCTCCCCTGGTGCTGGAAATAAAACTGTTTTGGTACGTGTGCCAAGCATGGGCTTTACCCCTGGGCTACGCTCTCAACCTCTCCACTCTAATCCCATCTGCTTCCACCAAGGTGTCTGGCGCTCCTTCAGGTCATTCCTGTCATGTTCCCGGCCTCCTCCCTGATTTAGGCCCTCTGCTTCTGTCAGGACCTGTCCTCCAGCCTTCTGCTCTGCTTTGGTCGTACTCACGGCCCCTGGATTTGCACCCACTCGTCTCCAGGGGGAGAAGGGAATGTAATATTTGATGGCTGAGGGGGAACTAAGAATGACGGAAGAGAAAGAGGGTCCAGCGCTGACAGTGGCGTTGGAGGTCACCCTATCCACTGGGAAAGAGACTCAGAGGCTGGGGAGACGACACGGAGATGGCGAAGACAGGCAGTGCGGGAGACACAGAATAGGAGGAGAGGGCGGAAACAAGACAAAGGGAGTACACACCTATAATGCTGGCTACTTGAAAGGCTGAGGCAGGAGAGTCAAGGTACGGGCCAACCTGGGCAATTTAGCAGGAAGGGCTGAAGATACAGCTCAGCATTCCCTAGGTTCAATCCTCACTACCCATACCACAAAAGACGGGGGCTAAGCACGGTGACACCGCCTGTAGCCCCCAGCACTAGGGAAGATTCCTTGCTTAGGGAAAAAATATATTTTAATATATATATTTTATATATATAAA